GCTTCAGTCCCCGGGATGCTCCGGCATCAGGGATGCTCCATGCTGAGGGATGCTTCAGTCCCCGGGATGCTCCAGGCTCTGGGAGATCCGGGCTGCCCCGGAGGGCCAGGTAGGGCTGCTTGCCCCAGGTGAACTGGAGCACGGGTGGGTGCCTGGGCTGCACCTCCCCATCCCGGGGCAGGGAGGAACTGGCACGGGATGAGCGGCCCGGAGTCATGGGTGCCGTGGTGCCGCCCTGGAAGCAGGGCAGCTCGGGGCCTCCACAGACAGTGTTGATGCTAACGAGGGTGTTATACATCCAAGGTATCAATGCTAACGGTGTTGTGTTAATTGCCAAGGCTATGGCAGGCTTGGAAATTAGGATGCAAAGGAGAGAGCCAGGGCCCCTGGGGAGACATGGATGCACCAGGGATGGGACTGGGGACATGAGAAGGTGTCACTGCTCTTGGAGTCGGCATTAGTCTACAACTGCCTGGAATCCCTGAAAGGAGGTTGTGGCAAGGTGGGGGTTGGGCTCTTCTCCCAGGTAACAAGAGACAGCACAAAGGAAAATGATCTCAAGTTGTACAATCCCATAAGGCAAAGCTTGTGCAAAAACCATCTTACTTTCTTTTTTACAGAGCGGTGACGATGGTCAGATGTGATGGAGTGGTGGGCAGGGAGCTTTCCCCTTGCTCCAGGCTCCAGCCCCCATGCCCCAGCCGTTGGCAAACGTTTGCAGCACGTTTGTGCCTGAGCAGAGAGACGGGAAGAGGTGCTGGCATCAAGGCTGCCAGGAAGGTGTCCTGCAGCTCGTTTCCCCCCAGGCAGGGGGCTCAGCCGGGCACTCAGCATCCAGAGGTGCCCATGCCCTACCACTCCTAAGAGGGAATCTTGGGTGCCCCCCTGGGTGCTCCCAGACTGGTGCTCAGGCAGTGTCTGGGGCAGGGGTGGGTGGTCTCAGCTGGGAAGGAGCTGGTTGGGAGTGGGATCAGGTGTGTGGGGAGAGTAGAAATTTGGTGGGTGCAGTGAGCGAGCGTGGGAGGATTCAGACAGAGCAAGGACACTGGGGGAGGGCACAGGAGACCAAGGTGATGCAAAGGGCACTGGGCAGGTGCCAGGGGATTGGCATGGGGTAGGGGGCACCGTGGGGGCACCAGGATAATGCAGGTGGCACTGGGGCAGTTGCAGGGAGGACTGAGACAGGGGCAGGGGGCTGGCATGGGCCAAGGGGACTAGCACGGGGTGGGGGGCTCCAGGAGGGTGCAGGTGAGCTGGGATGGAGGGGGGTACAAGGGGTGAGCAGGGTTGTGTTGGGGTCTGGGGGAGGTGCTGAGCCCTGGGGCAGTACCGGGGGATGGGGTGCCTGGGCAGGACCGGGGGAGTCCGGGGCAGTACGGAGGCCCCGGGACAGTACCGGGGGTGCGGGGCGGGCCGGTCCCGGTCGGGGCGGGGCCCGTGGCGCGGGGGCCGTCCCGGCGCGGCCCCACGTGCGCATGACGCGGGCGGGGGCCGGGACCGGGACCGCGGCGGAGCGGAGCGGCGGGAGCGGCGGGGCCATGCAGCCCCCGGCGGCCTCCCCCGGCCCCGCCGCCCCGGCGGGAGCTGAGCTGCTGCGGTGGCAGTGGCAGGAGGTGCAGGCGCCCTGCCTGGTGGCCGCCTGGATCCTGGTGGCCAGCCTGGCCAAGATCGGTGAGTGTCCCCGTGTCTCTCCGCGCTCCGGTCCCCCGTGCTCAGCCCCCAGGGAAAGCGGGGGGATATGCGGCATCGCCGGCGGGTCCGGGGGTACCCGGGACGAGACGTGTCACGGCACACCGGGTCACGGGTCATGGGGACAAAGCCGGCTGGTCACCACCCCCAGCGGGGTCGCGGGGGTCGGGGACCGCCCCACGCCGCGCCGCATCCTCCGTGCCCTGCGCGGGGTGATGCGCGGGGACGGGGAGAAGGTACCACCCGAAGGACGAGGTGGGGGCCAGAGGCTGTTTTCCCTGCAATGGATGGGCGGGTCGGCGCAGAGGAGGGAAGAGATGCCCCAAAGGATGTCCCGTGTTCCCAAAGGCTGGAACGGCACATGCCATTGGCAGGTCTGGAAGCCATTGATCCTCCCCCCCCCAGCCCCAGCCCCAGCCCCAGTAAGGGCTTGGTGCTGCCAGTGTCAGGCAGAACGTGTCCCCAGCAGGCTGCAGACGGGTCCGTGCCTGCAGTCCCCTCCGGCGGGTCACTGGGGATCGGCGTGGCCTCGGGCTCTCGTGCTCCCCAGCACAGGACCACGCAGCCGGGGACGCTCCGCCGCCAGAGGCTGTGTGGGAAGGCGCAAAGAGGATGTGTGTGAGCTGCGCAGGGCTGGGCTCCCCCACCAGCACCCGGGGCGCTGGGGAGGGGACGCCCGCGCGTGGGTGCCAAACAGGGTCCCCAGGGGCTGGTCCCCCGCAGTGCCCCTGCCTGCAGTGCTGGGCCCAGGGGACGAGATTGTGACCTTGAGGCAGGTTTCCTCCTCGGGGACCCTGCTGAGGGCACAGCCCCCGTGGTGGGGGTGCGAGCACCCTCTTAGTTTGGAACTGGTGGGTTCAGAGTTAGGCAGGGGAGTCTTCGAGCAGCCAGGGACTTGCAGCAGCACTCGGTAGACAGGGGACAGCTACAGCTCTGGCCACCAGCTGGCCTCTGCCTGTCCCAAGCATCATCGTGGATCTCACAGTCCTCTCCTTCCTTGCCTTCTCGCAAGGGAGTCCTGAAGCATCGCGAGGAATGAATTAAAGGGCGTTGTAAGCTTAAAAATACAGCCCTCTGCTGTAGCTGTGCCACCTCCAGCTGCTGAGTGCGTCCCTCCTACCTGCAAAAGATCAGAGAGACAATTCCCTTCCCTCGAATGTCTCCCTGGAGCTGCTCCCTGTGCAGGTTTCCCTTGATGTGCTTCTCTAATCACCCTGGACTTTGCCCTAGTGAGTGCAAGAGGGCCTGAGCTGGGATCATTCCCAAGCCCCGAGACCTGCCACACTCTTCCAGGCCTGAGGAAAGCTGATGGTCACTCTCCCTCTACATCTGGGAGACACAACCCTGATGATTGGTA